GCCTTAGAAATAAGGCATGTGGTTTCAACAGAGAGGAGAAATTACCTGCTTGAACAATTTACACGGAGAGGAGGGTAGATTCTTCCATCACTGGGCATAATTTACTTAAAATTGGTTAGTTTACTCAAAGAAAATCAATAGTTCAAACAGGAATAACTGCAGGGAAGACTTTTGATCCATGTTATGCAGAAGGACATGCAAGGTGATTTGTTCTGGATATCAGTCAATGAAAAGTGGGTCATCCTGCACTCTGTTCCCCCTTTACTCTCCATCCCTCAGCACCAGACCTGTGAGCAGTGGCAGCAAAGTGAAGCATCTCCAGCATTGCCTTCCTCCACCCTGGGATGGAGAATCCAGGAGCAGCAGCAGTGGAAGAGATAGGCAGGCAAAAAGACTTCAGTGCAAGAACTGAGCTTAGAAATTCAGGAATTTATATCATGTTTTTCTTGGGTTGCATAACTAATTGTTGAGCAAGAGAAGAGTGCAGAAGTGGGCTGGTAGGATCTAGAATAAATTAATGAGAAATTAAGACTCTGAGGGCTAGCTGGAAACTTCCTACTCTCAGGAGACCAGAGAGAGTTCTTACAGAAGAGAGTATCACTCTCTGTCCATGTAAAAGAACTGGCAACACACGCTGTCTGCCTTTCTCTCTTGTGCATGCAAGAAAAAGAATAAGAAACATAGCCTTTTTTTAAATACCTCATTATATTAAGGCCATTCCGATGATTCGGAGAGTGCAGAGTTTTCTTCACTTCTGGAGTTTGGAGTCCTGTGTAAGATCCAAACCCTACGTGGCAGGCAGTGGTCCCCTCTGACTAGCCTTCTGAGTGTGTTGTCTCATGCCTTTGTGAACGCATCCACCCAGGATGCTGCAGTGACCTCTCTTGGCAAGTTATGTGTGTGTGTGTGTCAAATTGCAAGCATGTCTTTCTTATCAAGCTACTCTTTTTCTGATGTATGCCAGGAGAAGCAAAAGCAAAATGAGCTCAAAAGCAGTGCTAATTGCCCGGAATTTGGTCAGAATATTACCTATTCCTTACAAACAGAAAAAAATCCTCTGCCCATTTTTATAGTGTTAACACAGCACTAGCATAACAGTCCCGCCAACAAAATTTGTCAAAGAGCCAGTCCAGATTAAACATAAAATATTTTATCCCTGAGTACTCAAACATCCTGTTTCTTTAAAGAATAGCACACAAATTAGAGTCATGTCAGTGCATTAGCCTCCCTTGACGACATTACAAATCCCAGTACAAAATTAAGATATAAGCCTACGATGCTTACAAAAGTTGTGAAAGCTCATGCCTGCATTTACTCACTTCTCTGACATCTCTGTTGTTCATCCTGGGCAGAAGATGTATTTCAGCCATTTGAATTTGCACTCCAGGTTTATCAAAGTATTCCTCTCACCTACCCCAGAGGAAGTACTGTCTTTCAGACACACTGCAAGTCACCAGTGGTGTTGCAACATGCCGCTCCACCTTTATGTGGCTGGACAGGCAGATAAGGAACATAGCCCATCTGCATAAAGAAAAGCTTTCCAATGGGAAGGACAAAGATGCATTGGAAGAGGTTGCCTGCGGCACTGGTGGAGTCTCCATTGAGTCTTTAAGAACTAGTTAGACTGGCATCTGTCGAGAGTGATACAGGCACAGTTCCTTTTGCCTTCCAACACTGTTTTTCTCAATCTATGGTGAAATTCTGCGCCTGACAAACTGTCATGAATATCTGCCTGTTCCCTGCAACCTGGGAAACTGAGGAGGCACACTTTGGCAACTGGTGTGGAGGCAGGAGATTACATGTCACGTTAATTGCCTTAGAAGAACATTTGACCCTTACCTACTGTTGTCCAGCTTCAAGAGTCATTGGTATTGACTGACATATGAATCTTCAAATCCCAAAATGAGCAACAGTTTCCAGAGTTTTACAACTCGCATTATTTTTAGCTGATTACACAGTCCTCATGATTGATCTTCCTGGAATGGCTCTTCTGCAAGCCTCGAGGAGGGGAGAGGAAGGGTTTCATGGAGACACACATTTCCATGGGTGATAAGCTCGCATCTGTTTTGAACTGTAAAATGGTAGCTCGTTGTGAAATCCTCTTGGAGCATACCTTTTAAATGCCAAACAAGCCCAGCATCAGCAGCACATAAAGAAATATTTGAAAGGCTCTGGAGGGAAGCCAAGAGGACGTGGCTAATGTTTCACCTAACCTCACCCCCTCGCTGGCTGGCTGGCTCTGCCCGGCAGCCCTGCCTGTGTGACGTGAGCCTCCGAGCTCCGGCAGGCAGCTGCTCCTTGACTGCCTGCACTGTCTGCCCGGCTGGCAGCAGGACAAGGGAAACAAAGAGGCTAAAAACATAAAGTAGCGAGAGATTAGGAGCGGCGTGGCCGGGAGGGCAGCACGCCCTCCCTCAGGGCAGGGACGGGGTGGGAGTCCGGGCCTCTCCTGGCGGGCACCCACCCACAGAGCCACTGGGCTGGGCCTCACCTTTCCCTCCAGAAGGGTCCAGCACTGAGGAGACACAAAATGAGGTTCTTTCACAACAGGCTGGTATTAATGGGGGAGCAGTGTGGGAAAAACTTGTCGGGCTGTCCCTTTCCTTTGGAAAAATCCGCTTTGCCTCTCCAGCCTCCAGTCCTTTGTCCTTCACACGCAGTTATTTGCTTCCTCTTTCACACCCCTGAATACCTTTCCTTTAACACAGAACAGCTTATTTTTCAATAATCTGTATTAAAAGTTATTATCCAGAGCCCTGCCCCATAGTCCTGCTCTGAAACTCCTGCTTTCTTTGAGTTTTTCCTGTTATGTCCTTACTTTATAAAATTAGTACCCACCTGGATACAAAAATCTGCAGAATGCCTGCTATAGTTTTGATGCTATCACTTGCTGGCAGGTCAAGTTGAAAATGGACCTGACAAGCAGGATATGCCAAGAGAAATGTTCTATATGCAGGAATTTGGACTTAGTGGACATGAAGAGTGTTAATTATTGATTGATATTATTTGCCTCTGTTCAAGTGAGGTTTTTAGAATTGACCTTTTACCTGCCTTAAAATATAAACAATGGTTAATAGGGTAGTAGAGCTACAAAGTTTTTCAGGGGATTTAGAAAAAGCTCTCTTCATGATAGCATCAACCCAAATGACAAAAGTATTCCAGATCTTAAATGAAAAGAAGCAAGCCATAATTTTTTACTAGGTCCTGAGCAAAAACTTGGAGTTTAAGCCATAAACATAGCAGCAAATCACTTGCTGAAAGGCAGCAAAACAGAAGCACAGATCAGAGACTGGTAGGGGACTCAAAGAAAATGTTATTATTCTTGCAAAGAATGTATGAACTGACAGGAGGGAAAATATCTAAAAATAGGTGCACAGTTTGGCCAAAACCAGATACGGATTTGAAATCACCTTAGTTTTTGAAATTTGGGGGGGGGGGTGTTTCTGTGCATTGTTTTTTTTGATTGGTTGATTGGTTGGTTGTTTTTTTTTTTTCGTTTACTAGATTTGTTCTGTATCCGGCTGTTTTTCATTTTGAGGCATAAGAGATGAAACATGACAAGTAAGGAAGTTCTTGTGGTTTTTCAGGAACACCCAGAAGCAGAGTAATGGAAAACCAACAATAGGCAGGAAAGACTGCAAAGCATGTGAGAGCTTTCCTACAGAAACTCTGCTGAGTTCTGCAGATTGATGGTATATCGTGACATACAGAGTCCTTCCTGGGGTTGTGCAGCTGCATATAGACCTCATGTAGGCACAGGGAGATGTTGTGATAAACTCCTAGAGAGTACCAAAACTGGATTGCCTTTGGAGGCACACTGATCCATCCTTTTCCAATCCCCCTCACTGTGTTCCTTCTGAGGTCATCAGTCTTTTTGCACCATCAGCCATAGGACTCACCTTGTGTTCAGCCAGAAGGGCTGGAGTCATGTTTCCATGTTCTCTTCCCTGCTTGAGCACTCATATCATGTCAGAAACTTCTGGCCTGAATGTAGGTCAGAGGTTGCATTAGTATTGTGCAAGTTTGAGCCAGTCTCCCAAACATTTTAGAACTACCATTTTTTTTAATTCCTCTTCTCAATAAAAAATTGTAGTGCCAGAGAAAGTTCGTTGCTCTAGGTGGTGTTTTACTTAAGCTGTTTCTGTGTAGTCACAGGTACTTCTGTAGCAAAAATATGCATATGCAAGTCTATCTATCAGCCTGTTTAGTGATGATATGTTAAGTTCGTTCTACAGGCTTTTGAACACAGTCTAAACTGTTCTCATCCAACAGCTCTGCACAGTCAAAAAGAAAACAGAATGAGCTCTGACCCTTGGACTGCCTCTGTCAATCAGACTCGCTCAATACACGAGTCATCAGCATCAGAGAGGGAGAAAAAATACTCAGGAACTCACACCTATCCCATCTGCCAGCAGGTACAGCACATGCAGGACATCAGGAAAAGGCAGCACGTAGCGACTGGCTTTATACCCTGAGAATAAAGTTCCACATCTTTCCCATGTGATTTGTGGAAGTGTTTTGAGTAATGAATGAAAATTACTTTCGCCCAGCCCCCACCCACACACCCAAGTGCAGCTGAACCCTCTATTTCATTGAGCATGCATACTCTTGCCTTTGATGCACATACATCTGCCACTGCTCAGGTATGGCAGTGCTTTGTGACCTGTAATGCATAAGCAGAGATGCAGGAAAAGCTCCTGCCTCCACTTCACAAGAGCACTGATTTGGCCGAGGTCCTAAATCTCAGAGAGAACTCAAACTATAAAGCAATGGCTGAAAGTTAAACTATCTTTTTTTTCAATCATTAATATTCATTAATGATAGCTGACCAGATCTCAGCTGGGTAATGTCACCTTACCTTTAAAGCTTTAAGGAGATGTTAGCTGTTTTCTCTGTCTCTGGGTTTAACTCTGGCCCTCAAATGTCAGATGGATCAGTTTCTGAAGTTATGCAGAGTCTTTAATGACCCTCCATCCTTGCTTGTTTCCTTACAGGCAGCAGAGGACACAGGAAGGACATGCATGGAATGAGTGCTGGCTGGGGTGGATGCAGAGGCCAGAGGGATGACCCGGAGGGCTCAGCAGATCTCTTGGGAACACCTAGGGAACTCCCTTGTCCCACCACCTACACAGCACTACTAAGTACAGGACATGCTTCTGGATCACACTGAAACTCCCCGGAACTCCCTTTCCACTGACACATGCAAGAAAGCCTCTTTCTTATACCACTCATACAAATAAAACAATAGCACAGGATAAATCCTACTTTCTTTTTTACTCAAATAAATCCAACACAACTCTGTTGGTTTCAGGAGAGGAGCTTACATTTCTGCATCTTCCCACTTCCAGAAGAAAATTCTCAACTTAAGTAGGGAGCAGGGAATACCAGATGTGGCTGGAGCGATGCGATTAATGAGTAGCTGATGTTCAATACCATGAGAGGAAAATTTGTGGAGGGGTTGAAAAGTTAACAATCATTTGGGGAGGGGGGAAATAAAATATTGTATTTCACTCCATTAATAGTTTGAAAAATAAATGTAACTAAATGCAACCTCAATTACTTCCTTTAAAAAGGCCCAAAATATTAATACCGAAAAGAAAGAGTTATTTTAACAATTTTTTAAATAATTCTTGAGTCTATTCACTGAATTCAGTACAATTTTCTCAATATTTTCAGTCAAGTCAAGACTGCATTTTGGTCTTGCTACATAAATCTGAAAAAAACCACATTAATCTGGAAAAAAAAATCCAATTTTGTTTTGGACTTAAATAGCAGAAATGTCTTGCTTCTGTGAATAGCTTCACATTTTATACTTCTTTATTTTTCTTACATCAAAGGACTAAGAGATTTAAATTAATTCCCTTTTTGTAGACCTTCTATGTCCTAATTTACTTTCCAGTTTACAAATTGAACGTCCAATCAGCTATTAATTATTTCAGATTATTTCTGAAAGTTGTGACAGTGAAATTACTGGCAATTTTTTAATCAATGGAACTGAATATGTTTTGCATTTTAATCAGTCGTTGGGTTCTTAGACTACTTGTTCAACTCAAGTACTCAGCAAGCATTTTTAAGGGAAACAATTTTTTCTTAAAGATTCAACACTCTGTTCCGTCTGCTATGGATGGAAAAACTCAAGGACGTAATTTCTGAGACCACCAAAAAGTCATGGAGAAAAAGAACAGGAAGACTAGACTTATGAACCTTCTTGCTATTTTTGTATTGTGAGCTTTATTTGTACAGCTCAGGATCTGGCCATCTGAGGAGTTTACTGTGGTCCCTTAGAAAAAAATTAGACTACAGAGCAGTACATTTCCCACTTTCTAAGCAAAGTTTAAGGATATATTTCTTCCTATTCTGTGGATTTAATGGTCTGCCAGAAATATAAGGATAGAACTTCAAAAAAAAAGTTTATGTATTTAGTTCATTTTTTAGCTTTTGGTACACACAGGGATTTGTTTCAACTCTCTTTTGTTTCAAGTTAATGTATTAAAAATGTTCTGCACAGGCTACAAATGAACAGCTGGTTAAAAACTGTATTTAGTTACCTTCACTAGAATTGTCATCTTTCCTATCATCTGGTACTGTGCAATACTGGACATTTTACTCTATTGAAGAATTTCCTGCCTTTATCAAGTCAAACTCCAGACACATTTTGCAACAGAGAAGAATTAAAGAGGGAGGACTCTGTGCAAAGGAACCACAACTTATCAGTGTAAACCCTAAAATAAATTAAAACAGTTTTTTTTCTGAGGCATTTTAGCTATCAGAGGAGCTTCCACGCCATTTGTCATGCTATGTTCCTAATCATCATTGCATGAACATGCCTCTGCACTTGACGTTCTGGACAGGTATGTCCTCATGCACTCTCTGCTCCCCAAGCTTACAAGCCTTTCACAGGAAGTTTAAACAGGAGGAAGGAGCTCAGGACACCAGAATGACAATGCTTATGACAGTCTGGGGTTTACATGATTCTGCTTTTCAAAAGGGTGGATATTTCTTCTTATTATATCCACTTGTTTACACTACAGTTATGACAGAGAAGGAGAAAACCCAGACAGAGAGGGAAACACGAGACAGAGGTGACTGCAAAGTAATCACAAGTAGTCAAAAAACCACAGGTGACAGCTGCATCCCATTCTTCTCCAGGAAAAGGAGGAAGTATGAAGAGTGACCCTGCCCTTTTGGAGATTTTGACCTTTCTGTAACCTTACAGGTGCTAGAGGAAATCCAGATAAGTAGAAACCCCTCCAGCCTGAGTCCTAGTCACATTAAATTAAAAGCTGGCTGGTTGTTTGGCCAGTAGAGATTTTATTTAGGAGAGCAAGATATACACTGAAGATGGAAATGAATAGGACAAGAGCTACAAGTTGCACCAACTGTGAATTATATTATTTTGCAATGAATCCACAGGAAACTCTTAGAAGGCCTTGAACCCAAAATACACATCCCTGCTCTTTATTTGGGAGGTCCCTCTTCACTGGTGCAGAAATGAAACACTGGGTGTCTGGGCAGTCACCCCCAAAAAAGAGCTGCTTCGCCTTGCAATGTGCAGACAGAAATTGAGCACGGTGTGTGCCTGCAGTTCTCCCATCTGCAGCCTGCTTCAAATCGCACTTCAAAATGCATTCAGATCCACAGTTTCTTCTTCTAAGGATAAGTACCCAAGTGCCATAAACTCTATGCACTTTGATATGTCTCCGTGGCCTGATCTGGGTAATTTACTGTATGAAAAGTCAGCTGTACTATAACCCAATGGCATTAATGGTATGGTGAGCCACTGTAACTTTTCTATTGATTTGGTCTCGTTCTGTATCTGCAGCTACAAAACTAATCTGCTATGCCTTGTATGTGTCCGGATGGCTGCAGTGCTGGCTGATATCTCGAGCGCGGACCTGGAGGCTGGGATTAACAGGCACTTCAGAAGCATCCTGGACAAGTGATACAGATGTGGGAAGTGTAGCTAATAGTTACATGATGGGAATAAAATGTTAAATCATGTTTAATTCTGTTTCTACACATAGCATTGTGTGGTGACAATGGCTCTCTTATTCTAAGGTTCAAAATGTATATGTATCTATCACCTGCAGAAATGAGCTACAGCGGAGGGAGCGGGGAGGGAGCAGAGGTTGGGCAGGAGCATTGCCAGAGTTGCAGTTCTGTCCCTGCCATCTGGGATGCCTTCACCTGTTCTCAATGCAAGAGTGCATCCCTGCCCTTCCACCGACATTGGTACCCTTATACGAGCTGGGTGCAAAGGTGTGCCTCCCCAAACTTCAGTGAGACCAAGCACCAGCTTGAGCAGTAAATTTCTCAAAATCGTGGGCATCTCACTACCAAAGCTGTTCCCAGGAACCCAACGGTTCACACAACTTTTAATATAAGCATCCCTCTGTAAAACTGAATTGAGGAAAGAACATAATTTTCTCTCATTTGTGACTTCTAAAAGATCATGTAAGTTTGAAAAGTCTATTTTAAGTTCTGGCAAATTAAGAATACAATCAACCACCGAAAGTCAGTCGGGAGGCTTTGTTATGACTAAATGTTTTTGGCTACTGAAAATATTTCAGCTTCAGCTTGACATTTTGAATATTTTAGGTACCATTAAAGGAAATTCTGAAGTAAAATAATGATGAACCAAAGGTATTGAAAAAAAATCAAAGTGACAATTTAGTTTTTAACAAACTGCTTTATTAAACACTTCTATATTACACAAAATATGTGCAAAATTTCTATGATTTTGTGAACTGGCTCAGAGTTACTACAGAAGCTCTCTCTCCATCATTCAGCCAGTGAGAGTTGAAACTGCACAGAATGAAACGGGATGACAATGATGAACACCTTCATCAATTAAATTGAATAGGAATCACCCCACTTGAAGAAGGTAAGCATCATTTGAGTTAAGGGGCATGCTAGTAAAAAGTAGAAGAAATCATTCCCCACACAGTTCCATCTTTCTATCTTTTCCAGCAATGTTTCCCCAGATCAATATTATTAGCACATTATAATGAAGTTATTTTTTAAACAGTCTTATATCATATTACTTTTTTCAGAAATTGTTTAATATGGCCTTCAGTTTCTGTGGGATGGATTTTTTTTTTTAAGTGAGCATTTTGTGATGAAAGAAATAAATCTGATCTTAATTTTCTGTTGTCCCACTGGGCGTGATTCCTACTGTGCTCTGCATAACTTTATTTTAGAGATTATACCACTGAGAAGTTTGCATTTAGAAATGGTAGGTTTTGAGCATACAGACATGAAAAGTGAATCCAGAAAAGTGTGGTTATTATATGGATACATTGAGAAGATGATATGAAAATGTTTTAGAAAATCTGATATACCAAGACCAACTACTGCTTTCTCCCAGTTGCCTCATATTAGTCCATCTGAAAAGTAGACACTAAGAATGTAGAAAACTTACTTAAATCAGTGAGCAGAGGTATGTGTGGCTCTCACAGACCTGGGTACAGGTGTACGTGGGTCAGAATGCCACTTGATAAGTGTCAAGGAGAAAAGATTTGGCAATGTTCTAGCCCATTACAATGGCATAGTGCCTCTGGAAGGTGTCAGATATGCTTGTCAAATATCCCTCATTGCTTTTGTCCTTGCTGCTGCTAACATGTGTGTCAGCTGAATAGTAAAAGCATACCTCCAAATTTCGTACTAGAAACATTTATTCCTCATTTTTCATTATTCTGATTTTGGGCTTGGAGGTTTTTTGTGAATGCGATTCTTGTCTGAAAATTTTCTCAATAGAAAGCACAGCAACTTGTAAGGGATCAAACATCCTAGCCCTTAGATAAAAAAACATGCTTCTGATAAAGAAGCAGCATTGTGAAGCCTGCTTCTTAATTGTCTGTCTCTGCTCACATCAAGAATAACAAGTAGGAAGACTAGGTCAGAAAAGAATGTTAATCTACTCAAAAATACTAGTTTCTCATAAGTACCACTTCAACAGGCTCTACCTGTGACAACACAAATATAGGCAAAAAGGAAAGATAAGGGTTTCTTCAAACATTATTTGGCTCTTAGGAGGGTGGAAACGGAGATAAAAAACATTTTACCAACGTCAGGGAGGGAGAGGCACTAAGCAGCCAATTCCTGGTATTCAGCACTTGCAGAGAGGAATAGAAAAGAGACCCTTCCCATCAGCCTGGCAGAGTGGGGGAGTTTTCTACTGTTTTACCTGAAAGGAGAGAATATGCTTCGCATAATGGTTTGGCAGATTGAGCTGGCCTCGTTTATTCAGACACTGAGGTGACAATCACAGGATGAAGAAAAATAGCATGACTGGAAGTAAATGAATGCCTGTAAAGGAGAGTGGTCATAAAGGAAGAGCCAGATTATTGGGAGGCAGGAGTGTGAGAGCAAAGGAAACCTGGAAGGTATGGGAGAGGGTGACGGAGAACAGCACCTGGGAAAT